TTTGAGTTACTAATCCGTTACTCAAAGATATTAATATGATCTCTATGTATTTATTCAATCTCTTAAAACGTACATTCTAAATATTTTTGTTTAAACATTTTGCTGTACTAAGTGCGGTATGTTCAATATCAATATTTAATTCAATTAGATATTTGGGAATTGGGAAACTCCAATTTGGGAGAAATTGGGGTATTTCTCTGAACTTGGCAGCAACTGCGAAGATTATTAGATAGCGAATTTTTGAGTTACTAATCCGTTATTCAAAGATATTCATATGATCTCTATGTATTTATTCATTCTCTTAAAACGTACATTTCTGAGAAATTTTTGTTTAAACATTTTGCTGTACTAAGCATACTCTTGCCTCTAAATTAAGCACATACTCTATAATATAAATAAATACTATTTTATAAAAAAATGATCAAATTAATTAAGTCTGCATTTGGTTAGTATTTCATGTACTTTTAAGCCACTCGTTCCTAATTATATATAGCAACTAATTACATCACAAAATAAGAGTAAATTGTTTTTACTAGCATCGAAACATACGAGAAAGAACTATCTCATGTCGATATTACATCATGCCTTATTGACACGCCTAACAATAGAGATTATTGTATTGCGATTTCAATGCCATACAGATTTACTTGATTTTTTTTTTCAAAAATGTTCTTACTGTGTTATTAATTGTAGAATCTTCTTCAGTTAAATATTGTTGATTATTAAAATAATAGTGAAATTAATTAGTTGCAATTTATTACCGAGTTTTGTGTGAAATATATTAAGAATGTGTAGTTTGAGGTTAAGTGAAATGTCATTTAAAAATATTGAAGTGTTTATTATTTGCGTTCTAAAGGTTCTGATTATTTTCGAAAATATTTGAATTTTAATTTCATTCCATGTTTATTTGATTTAAACATGAATTTTATTTGGAATTATTTTGGTTAGTGCGTTGTTTATTTGATGTTTTATTTATCACTTATATTGATATCATTTTTATTTCGGCGTCATTCTTTTTTATTTCCGGCTTGTACAATTTTAAATATGTTAACATTTTGAAATTGGCAATTTTAAAAAATTAACACATTTGCACAAATCAAATTACTCAATGTGTTAGTATATTTAATTAGTATAAATTGAGTAAATTTTGTGAAAACAGCGCAAATTGTATTAAATTGCTGTACAAAAATATTACAAGCATTAATTAACTAAATAATCAATAAATTTATTATACACTTGTCAAAGTGGTACTGCTTAAAATGGTGTAATAATGCATTTTCAGTCTAAATGTCAATAAAAGCATGTTCATAGTTATTTATAGTCTACATATTTTTTTAAATATATAATTTTTCTTGCTTAATATTTCCATTATTATTACTATTTATTTGTTTTATTGGATTCTGATATTGCGATTTGCTGAATTATTATTTATTTATATAAATACAATATTTCAAACCTGATATTGTGCAACTGAAAATATTGCAATCTTGTCATTGATTTATTATAATTCTGAATTTGCTCTTATTCTTTACAATGATATATTATATGCTATTAATTTATTTGTTATTTACAGAACTTTTGGATGGTTTACGGCCATCTTCACCAAAGCCGGGGCATGTGGAAAGGATAAAATCGCCACAAGGAGATGCTTCAAATCAGAATGTAGATGATCCTGTTTTAACTCAAAGATTTTTGAAAATCAATGTTAGACATATTACTGATGGGCAGGTCTGTAGCAAAAAGTTTAAAAATTAAGTAGTAAATTTAAATTCGTTCATAAGACTAGAATTAGATTATATGAAAAGGTATCACTTGCATTGTCAATAACTTTGTTTAAAAAAAATTTAAAATTAATTTATTTGATTTGTGTTTATTTTATTAGAAAGATTGATTAAATACCTTAATATTAAATATTATGGAGTTTTTTAAAAGTTAAGGTTCAGATATTGAGTGAAGTTTATACATGTCGGCACAGGCTAGTTTATATTATATATACATATATTATTTGTGTCCGGTATAATAATCGGAGGAGTTTGAAGATAGCTTTTAGAAAAGATAATGTAATAATCGGCAAATTTGAACAGTTAAAGTCTTTTGTTTATGATAAAACCTTTTGCGAGAAGCTCATGTGAAAATCGCTGTTGCAATATCTTGATGGTGATGAAAATATCTATTTAAATTAATTACGGTATTAAACTCAGTTGTGATTTTCTACATTTAGTGATTTTGAATTAGTAATGAGATTTAACCAAATATTGATTGCCATCAAAGTAATATTGCTAGATAATTGATTTGTTTGTTACACAAGAGAGAATTCAGTTTTACCTTTATTTGAGACGAAATTGATATTTTTGAACTATTTTGCTATTTCTGATATAACAAGATTTTATGTACATTGCAAATTAAGAGTGTTTGCTTTAACATTAATGCTGATATAATCTGTAAATAGAACAATATCACTAAGATTTGTCACAAGGTAGTAAATTCTAAAGATTGATGTTAAATAAAGAGGTTCTAAATTCGCTTGTTTAATGGTTAATTTACTTTTGATCAATTAGTAGAATAAGTAGAATTTAAATAGCCTAATGATTGAATTAGAAATTACATATAATATTCTACTATATCAAGAAATATTTTATAATTGCTTTAAATAGCAAATCATTTAAAAACTATTAATCAAATGAGAAGTAGAATTATTTTTATGAAATCCGTACTGATTTTTAAACAATATATTTATTTTAGAAACACTAGTGTAAAATTGAAAGATTAACTTTTCATGCTAAAAATTTAACTTAATTTTAAATTTAATTTTGTAACTTTATTGAATGAATTCAGTAACAAATCTTTATTAATATAACCTTTATTAATATAACAATTCAATATAACCTTTATTTTTATACAAAATGAATAGATTTTCGAAGTTAAAAAATGTTAGTTTTTAAAGCATAAATAACGTACATAAATTATTTTTACTCTGGACTACATACATAAATCATCATTTTTATTTTCAGGGCGTAGTAGGAGGTGTGTTATTAGTTACCCCAAATGCTGTGATGTTCGATCCTAATGTATCAGACCCCCTTGTGATAGAGCATGGACCAGAAAGTTATGGTGTCATAGCTCCTATGGATCTCGTAGTCAATTCTGCAATTTATTATGATATAGCCCATATGAGAGTTGGTCATATAGGAAATGAAAGGTAATTTAATGAGTTATATTTGATAAAAAAAATAAAGTAATACAATGATTTTATTTTGCAGTTCAGAGAAACCTGAAATATATCACCCATCAAAGACTTGTACTCATTCGCCAGGAAAAGATTCTTTGCTGGTCAAGGTATGAATTTTTTAAATGTAACTTTTTAATATGGTAATCAAATATTTTGTATTTTCTGTTCTCTGTTGTTTTTAATATTTGATTTTGGTGTCTTTTTTGCCCACTTTTATTATATTTTGAGTATATTCTAATGCTCAGTGAACAATTGTATTCAATGTGGAAGCAAATATTAAATCTGCTGAATAATTGAGTCATTTCACTGTTAACAAAAATTTGAATGATTATTTTTTACTAGGACGAAACTTTCCCAGAACTAGGTGGGGTAGAAACAGATTTAGATGGTGAGAGTATTTGCTCTTATGCTGAACAAAGAGAAGGAGATGCATTTCCTAAGGCTTTCGAAAGGGACCTTGTCACACCTACAAATTTATCGGTAAGCACAAAACTGTAGTATTTACTTTATTTATTACGCTTCAATTTTATAATATCAATTGTCGAGCCATCAAAAAGAACTATTTTTCAATTAAAATTTCATATAATGTAATTACTTGTCCATCTAACAAAGTTCATTAGAGTCATTATTGTTATAAACTATAAAAATCTTAAGTCTTAGCAAGTTTTATCTGATATTAGTAATGGGACCGTTCAAGTATTACGTAAGCAGATTTATTACATTTATTTACCCCCCCCATACCCCTTATCAGCAAAAGTAAGCAAAGCTCTTACCCCTACCCCCATGCTTACGTAAATATTTTGCACTTGATGTAAAAAAATAAAAATACTATCTATGACGTAATCATCATCCAGACTTCCCTGCTCCCCATGTCAACCCAAAATAAGCAAATCAACAACCCCCCCGCCTCCATATAGTGCTACGTAATACTTGAACGCTCCAAAGCTCAGAAATTAATTTAACTTTTATGTTTACTTCTGTAAACTAGCCAATGGATAAGTTAACTTTGTTAACTCAGTGATTTCTCAATTACTTTTTTTCACAGCGTTCTCAAGGTGACTCAACAGAATCAGAAGGTGGTTCTGCTCCACCTAATGCTACCGCCGCAACAATGAATGTCACCAGCACGCTAGAAGAACGAAGACGCTCTTTACTTGATCAACATTGGGCAATTCCCAGTAAAGACCGCTCATTGGATGACCAAGACTCAAATGGATCTTCACAAGAGACACCTGTTCAAGTACCAGTTCCTAATAATATAAATGTTACTATTGCCCAAGTTGCAGAAACTAGTGAATCTGCACCAGCAGTTGAAATAAGGCCAGAGGACTCGGAACAGATGACCAAACAGTCATGTTACGATTCTGGTATTGATATGAGAGAACCAGTCCCACCTCCTGTTATTATTCCACCAATGAATACCAAAAAGGTACAGTTGTTCTAAAAAAGAATTAAAATAATACTGTAAATATTATGCAACATGTAATTCATAATTTATTTCGTACACAATTTCTTGTCATAGATAAATCATTGTCACAGATAAATTTTATTAATGTTTGAAATAATTCAAATTATGTTATGGTTTAGTTTATATTTTTAGAAACTTATTAACTTCCCGTAGGGTAAGTTATTGTAATGGGCCGAAAATCGGAATTGAAAATTTTTACATTTCTCGACGTTTTGGAGGTTTCTGAACGTTTTGGCATACCTCAGAAAAAATTGATGTGTGTGTGTGTGTGTGTGTGTATGTGTGGATACAAATTTCCAGTCACGTTTTAGGGCGCACGGAGCAACCGATTTGAATGGTTCAAAAAACATCCGATTCCTATTGATAGGGAAAAGAGCTGATTAGTTTTCGGCAAAGGCAGGTCCAGCCGTTTCGGAGATACGGAGCAAAGAGTGCAGAAAATAGAAATCGTATTTTTGAGAGAACGGAGTATCCGATTTGAATGATCTAAAAAACATTCAATTAGTAATGATTGGGAGAAGTGTTTATTAGTTTTTGGCAAAGGCAGGCCCAGCCATTTTGAAGATACGGAGCTAAATATGTAAAAAATGGCAGTTTTTGAGAGAACTAAGCGTCCGATTTAAATGATTCAAAGAACTTTCTGCTTGTCTTAACAAAATAATCGATTTTGGAAAAAAAAATTTGTCCCATTTTTTTTTTTTTTTTTTTAGTTTTTTTTTAGTTTTTTGTATATCGAAAATATTTATTTTTAATTCTGACTATAGTTCTAATATACTTTACAAATAATTTCAACTCTGCAATTCAGTTTATATAATATTTATAAATATTAGACAATGTTACAATATTTATAATAATCTATTTGAAAACATTCAGTAATCCTCGAACATTTCGTTACGGTACGGGAAGTTCCAGCAATTTGCCTTAAGGCACGATGCCACCCGCCCCACTAGTTATGCCTGTTTTCGGATGCAAAATCTTAATTTGAAATTCATGTTACGTTTTGTTTTTTTTTTCTAAACTTTGCTGTAATTTTTTTGATTTTTGTTGTTTAATCACTTGCCTTTAATTAAATCCTCTATTACAATATGTATTTCAATAAAATATTTTTGGTAATGCTGTTTACATCACAAAATTTTTTTTAATTTAAATTTAAATGTGTCTGTTGAATGTTGAAATTGTATTTTTTGGGGTCTCAAACCTTATTACATTTTTTTGCGATTTAGATTTACACAGATGCTGACATAGTCCTGTCCTCCGATTGGGTGCCTCCAGTCACTATTGCTCCTCCTGCAAATGCAACAGAAACACTGAATAATGGTAGCCCACTTAATAAATTAGCCCCACACATTGATACGAGTGGGCGAAAGAAAGCCTCTTCAGTATCTTTCAGTTTAGAAGACGCTACTGGGGCTGATGGAAAGGACCAAGACAAGCAGGAGACAAAAAAGAATAAAGTATGAACTTAATGATAATATTTTTACTCTAGAGTTTTTTACAATTGTGACTACTTTTCAGATGTTAAAACGATTGTCATATCCATTAGCTTGGGTTGAAGGACTTACAGGCAGCGAAGAACAAACACCGCCGACAAGTGCAGCAGACCCGCAACATACATCAATGTTTTCAAAAGTATTCTCAAGGTGAGAAAAGTCTTTGAGTTAATTGTTACTGCTTTGAAATATGAATCTAAAGTTTATAGGTTGTATGCACATGTTTATTCTTGAATATATGTTTACTATTCAATTTAAAACTTTTATCTTGCTGCCTTTGGATTCCAAAAATAACAGTTCTCCAATAAATCTTGTGTCTGAATTGGGCACAGGTTTGTTCCTGAGCAAAACACCTTCAGAGGAGAGCGCCGGCTCTGGAGGTGCTCCGAATACACCTCCGACCGGGTAAGGTTATGCGGATAATTATTTATGTAGTACAATAAATTTAGATGCAAGTGAGGATTAACGGAAAAGAACTTTATGGTTTTCTAAGTGTATATTAAATATGCTGCAACAAACAGTAGTAATTTTAATAAATGTATCTTGATAATTGTATTTTGTTTATTGTATCATGATACATGAAGTCATGAAATATCTCATTCATTTTCATATTTCAGGAGGTCGTCAATTGGAACTTTTATGCGCGATTCATCCAGTTCCAATAAACCTCAGAGGCCACAAACAGCAGCACCCAAATTGGACTACAGGAGTATGGTTTCGATTGATGATATGCCAGACTTATTTGTCTCATTTGATAGTAAGTTTGACCTTAACTTTTATTATGAAAAATAACGAATATTAATAGACAAAATTACTTGCATATAAATTTTTACTATTAAAACACTGAATTTAAAATAAAATAATTGTTTTATCATTATGATAAAGTATCAAGTACTTTGAAACAATTTATAGAAAAAATAGATTTTTCATCTTGAACTTCAAATATTGAAAGAAATTATGGACATTGTTTTATTACTTCATAGAAATTTAGTTTGAAGATTAATTTCTAATGTATTTTTAACATTTCAATGTAGTTTTTCACTTATCCTAAAAATCCAATCAATATGTTTATTACATTTGTCCTATTCTTTGTTAGTAGATGATTTTTAATTAATTGATATCAGTAATGATTGTACTCAAAAATTTTCTAAGATTTGTGATAATTTTCAATTGAATGGTATTGCTAATTAGAGTAAAGTAAATGTCATTTCAGCAGGTATCAATTGTAATATGCGTAGACAACATTCATATCATTCATATAAAATGCTTTCATTGATGCACATTTTAATTTCAACAGATTTAGCATTTTAGTTATATGTCGAAAAATTAATCTCAAATTTATAATTTTACTTAATTGTCAAGATATAAATTACTAACATCATATTTAACATGTCCCTAACAGTTAATGCACCGATGCATCAGCAACTCGATTCTTTGGGTAGGTCGATGTTACTGATATTTTTTGGTTTCAACTGTCGTACTCTTTTCACATAATTAAGCTTTACTATGAATAATTTAAATTTTTATTTACATCTTGTATTTCTATTTATTTATTTTCTTCTTCTCGAAAATCACCAGATCTGCTGCAATGTATAATAGTCAAATCATATTAAATTCTCTAACAAAATTTAAAAAATTACAAATTGGTCTCAATGTTTTGTAATAATTATTATATTAAATTATTATTGATCAAAATTTTATTCATAATTTGATTTGGACATAAATATACATTTGATCTATTTTGGCAATGTGATGACCTGTATTTTATACTGAGCATGAATTTATGTTTTTGCACTTCATTTTATTTTAGGCTGAGATATTTACCCAAATAACGCATTTTATGCATGCTTTTCACAACAATATTTTCTTCAATTCATTTGGTCTCTCACAATAATCATTTAAGTCACATTTTATTGTATTTTGCGTGCCAAATATTTACTCATTTTGTAATTTGTTCTGTTTAATTGTTGCATGGCGTTAATGAATATCTTTTATCAAGGCTTGGGCGCATTGCCATAAAATTCGGTTCCACTCTCCTATTTGAACGATTCCAATATAAAGCTGAACGTTTTTTGAAAAATTCCAAATTACCAATTTTCAACTTTTAACTAATATATAAAATAATAATTTTAATTTGGAACAATAATAAATTATTATTTCACTTTTATAAATAGTATGTTTCAAACTGATGTTAATTCAACTGCGATAATTTCAATTTAGTAGGTTTGGGAAATGGTTCTACTTTTATCTGTTTTTATTGATATTGCGGACAATTCGTATAAGTAGTTTAAATTTGGTATATCGATTTGGTTTCAAGATGAGTTTTGAAATGGCATGTGAATCGTTTAATTATTAATTTTATTTTGCGGGACAATGCACCCGGATTGTTTAAATTAAAAATACTACTGAGTCTTTTGTGCTATGTAAATTGCGAGTAAACACTTTATCGACCGTTCGTGGATGATTCACCCAGTAGTGGCTTAATTGTCGATTAATATGCCAGCGTTTGTAATTGCAAGGCCGATTAATTGGCTAGTGGCCCATTAGCGTAACAAACAAAAATCCGATTTATTTTGATAGCGGTCGATAAAATGTTAATAAATGAGAAGAGAATATGATGCATAATAATTTAAATTTGTGCAACATTCTTTGAACACCACGCAATTTGAAAAAAATAATTACTGTTTATAATTGTACCACGATTTGACCTATATGTACTACTTTTATATCGATAACACCTATTTATGCAATATAAAACTATTATTCCAATTTCAATTGTATTTGGTTCTTTATCGCGTAAATTTAATGACATGTTTTATGATTACTGATATAATATTTTGCGCATTTAAAGTGACTAAAATGATTTTATTTCAACAATTTCACCGGTTTTCGGACTTACGATGATATAACAGTGGCGCATAAATAATTTAAGGATTTTGTCAGTTGTCTGTCTCCCATTGTTTTATGTTCCCTTTCACCTCTTGTAAGCATTTACATTTTGAATGTTATCATTTATCAGCGATAAATTTTTCGGATTACATCATCATTAATCTAAAAAACGCAGATGAAATATATGTAGCAAACAACATATAATTGTAGATTTCACTTTCGATCAGGCGTAATTGTGCTAATGTTATTGATAAATTTATCGTTGAGCAATTAATTTATCCTCATATATGATGTCGTATTATGAATTTAAGCGGAGGCTTAAAATAATTTATTTCCACAGAGCTGATACCTCGAGCCGCACGAGCTTGCCCTGATCCGCCACTGTACTTGCGCCTAAGAATGGGTCGACCATTGGCCGCAGCCACCCAACCGCCCGCACGCCGACCCTCAGTTATGTCGTACGGCAAGAAAAAGATGCGACCGGAATATTGGTTCAGCGTTCCAAGAAACAGGTAAAATAAAAAAAAAACACTATGAAATATATTAAACTTATTGCTTTGTTTAAGTCCGAAAATTATATTAAAATACAAATACCAGAGAAAAAATAAAAGCAGTTTGCGTTAATTGTTTCTAATGTCGCCTCGCACGAATTCGAGCCCACTGCCGATAGTTTTGCAACGCGCGGTAAATAATTGAATATATTTGATATATGTATGCAAAATGCGTATTGAAGAGCTAGTGATCATATTTGAGTTTTTATATATTACTTGCATACCCAGTCTCGCTTTGCTGAGTCTTTTATTAAAATCCACCCGATTGAAATTTGTATCTGGTGGGCAATCAAATTAAATGAAATTAATCAAAAAAATACAAATATGAAAGTTTTGAATGAAAGAGCTTATAAATGTATTACACCCTATTTGGCAGCCTGCTTAAGTTGGTTGTAACGGTTCTATATTTTTCTTTTTTTTCCTTGCTAAAATTTTAAGGGGCACACCTAGTGTGAAATTTTCAAAAAATCGAATTTTAAATTTTTCCATATTTTGATAGGTTATACCTGTAAAAATAACATACTAAAATTTTTAATCATTATCTTAAATAGTTCTTGAGTTACATCCATTAAAAAGAGTATATATAGTATATAGTATAACGTTCATTTTATCTTTAAACGCGTTTTTCTCGAAACAGCATTTTTCGAATTTGCTGGATTACTCGGAGATGTATGACACGATGACGCTCCAGTTTTTTGATCTGATCAAAAATCGAATTTTGGCAGGCCAAAAACGATCAAAATTTTGGGAAAAATTTAACTTTTTTTTCAACATGCCGCCATTTTATCAATTTTTGATTTTTTTATTTGCCCAAGGGTCATCGTATAGACAATATGTTCTAGTTTAACGAGATTTTTTTTATTATGTTTTATCAACAGAGAAGGCTGCAATCACTCCAGCAGTGGAGGACCTTTTCTGTGCCGCCGGAGATTGCGCGTTATTTCAAAAATATTTAATATTTTATTTCAAAAAATTTACTGTGTATTCTCAAAACATGTATAAACATACCCTCAAAATTTCAAATAGATGGATTTACTAGTTTTTTGTTTTTTTAATTCCCATAAATGACCTTTATTAAGGTTGTCACACTAGGTGGGCCCTTTAACATGTTTTGAGATGTTTACTAATGCTATAACATTGTTTGCGAATTATTCAGAAATATCTGATTTTCGACACGGATCGATTTCTTGTCGTATTGTGTTTTTTTAAATTCGAATGACAAAGCTTTAAATCAGCGATAATGTAATATTTTCCGACTAAAATTTAATATTCGTACTATTCGTAAGATACTAATATTGTTTCAAATAGCTAATTTTTGGCATTATTACCGTTTTTGTGACATACAAATAATTGATTAATAATTTTGTACATTATAATTAAAAATCAACTTGATCGTTTGCACTACATAAATATATCAGTTTGCACTACATAAATGTATTAGGATATAACTCCAGTACTCCACTTCAGAGCGGAGTTAACTGCGCTTGTCGACTGGCCACTCCGGTACCTAATACTCAATACAAATGTATTCTATAGTGTGTAATATAACTAAGTATTTGCCAAATCACATAAAGCATTTGAAATTCGTTTACAAACAGGCCAACATATTTGTTCGTGTTGTTGTAAAAAATAACTATTTGATGCATTTCAATAAGCATAATTTATAATTCCAATAATAAGTTTTCTTCATACATTTAACTATAGATAAATAAGTATAAACTAAGCATTTAACTAATAAAGTAGCCATGGCCCACGAGAAAATTTTTCTGATATTATCGTGGCGATTGAAGTGTTAATTCCATTTATTTATAACAATCAGAATCAAATGGTATTTATGGCCTAAAGAGCTAATCTGTAATAAAGAAATTATAATTGAAATAATATAATCTCACATATTTAAATAGAAAATTAAAAAAAAATAAAACATGTAAAATTTGCAAATTTGTTCAAAATATAGTCCATTTTAGTTTTAGTTTGAACTATAATGTTTAGTGTTAGTTTGACTATAATGCTACAGAAAATTAATACATGTTTTGTCACAAAAATTTCAGGGTGGATGATTTATATCGGTTCCTACACGTATGGGTGCCCCATTTATACGGTGAGCTTAACGAAGCGGAAATAAGAGAGCGCGGCTATGAACCAATTGACGAGGACACGGACTGGGGTGACGAAGATGCTGCAAAGGTCAGACAAAAATCATTTTTATGTTATTATAAAGATTCTTCGAAATTTATAAATAATATTTGTCCAATATTTTTGGTCTGCGTTCAGGGCAAAACAATAGGTCACCGTATGTTAGTCGCGAAAATATTTATATAGTATTTTGTATGGTTAATGAAAATTTAATCAGTGTTAGGTCAATAAATAATTACGTGGACCATGAAAATATATGAATCGTTGCAACTTGGTGTTCCTATTTGACGACTAAAGAAAAGTTAAACTCAATATAGTATCTTTAGAGATATTCATTACTAATGCGTTCATATATGTATTACACAAATGTTCTATTACCTTTATTATTAATAAATTGAGTCGTGCCATGTGATTTATTAGGACGGACAATCTGACAATCAGGACGATATCTCGGAATTAACTAGAGAATCTTGGGAGGTAAGCAAAATATAATAAAATAGCTGAATATTTTTTATCAAAGTCTTGATCGTCTTTTTTATTCCTTCATCGCACTAGCCATTTTGGTCATTTTTATTTTTTTTACTAATAATTTATGTCCAATCATGAGTTTCTGAAAAATTTTCATTATTGTTTTATTTGAGTTCACGTCTGACCTCTTATTACGTATTATGATTGCCGTCTATGGTTATGTGTTCCTGTTCTACCAGTTTACTGTTAACCGCGCTGTAAATATTATTGTGCCATCGTGCGTGGCTAAAAATAATTATATATGTTTTTTTAAAATAAATTCTGAATTTCTATATTGTTAAAAACACTCTAAATATGTAACGTGTTTATGTGATTCTTAAAGAAGAAGTGTTATAATAATACTTTTCGCAAATTCAGTTGTTAAAGGCGCCATACATAAAGATCTACAATATACTCAAGAGCCAAAATTCCAGTGGCGAACTAGGAGACTCTGCAGAGGTTAGCTATGTTTTAACACGTTGCACGCGGAACGTGGCAAAAAATGCATTTCAAATAAAAATTAAAGATACGAAACTTAGGAGAAATATTAAACGTTATCCGCATTCAATGTGTTAGTTCGTGTCTATCCACCGTGTAGAATAAAATGTTTGATGTTTGAATTACATGTTTGCACAACCCTTACACAAACAAAATATACGGATATGCTTAAAATATAAACTTATTCCATGTTTTGTTATTCCTTTTTCTTGGAATACTATTTAAATCACAATCAAGACTTAAATACCGAACAATACTCTACTTATTCTATGCTGTACGTTTGTACAGCATCGTAACAAACTTCCTTCGAATATAATAATCGCTACATACATACTTACATCATTTTTAAACAATAAAAACAATTAAATCCCAAACATATACCCGTAAGCCTGGAATGAGTCAAGTTCCTGTTTGCACTAAATGTTAGAGACTTAGAAAATATTACACCTGTATAGGCTTGTATTTGTATAGTGCGCTGTGAAACAAATGCAATGTAAAAAAAAATAGAGTTTTATTGCACAATTTTAAAATTTTAAGTTTTTATTGAGCGCGTCTGTGAATATTTTTATTGCTTAATGTTTATTATAAAATGTAACTTCCTTTATCTCAATGTGCAATTTCCAATAATCAGTGAAATATAAACTTTGCAAATGCACTAAGATTTGATATAAGTTGAAATTTAGCATTGAAATTTTATTTTCGTTTTTACATTGCATATGTTTTTCAACAAGGTCATGATTAGACAAATGTACATTTTAGTTAATAGAGTAGCTTCTATTACGGATGTTTCTAATTTCATCCAACACAAAGTTAATTTATTACATAACTTATATAATTTGAAAGTGGTAACTTATACATTAATAGATTTTTCAATTAGTGATATGATACATTAATTGATTTTTAAATTTTTGGCATTTTCATATTTTATTTTTCTCTACTTCACAGTTCTATTCTGTTCTAATTCTATCTTCTTTAGAATTTTATCTGTGATGTAATTGAAACATGATTGTTTCTATTTTTCTCAAATTTATCATCTGTCCCTTTTTACCCCATACGAGAGGTAAAAAGGAACAGCCAAATGGCAAACAAATCTAATATTTTATTTTTATAACATCGGTTTTGTTTTATCCGGGCTCTACATTTGTATTACAATTTTTGTAATTTGATTGTATCGTTTGCAAAAATCTGTAACGAGCAAATAAATTTATTATGAGACGTTCTTAGATTTTAAAAATCTTATGCTGGCTGCATAAAATATTTTATTTGTTGATTATAAGAAGAAACTCTATATTTTACGTTGATCACGGGCTGCTCTACAATATATAACATCGTTGTTCTTATTGCTTTTTAATTAAATACCATCCATTTGTGTAAAAAAATAATTTTCATTCGAACAATTTTTTATTAACGTTTTAGCAAATTGTATCAATTAGTTTATTACTACTGTGTCAAAACTTCGTGTGATATCAAATGGCGTGTATAAATCTATTAAAAAAACATTACTATCATTATGAAGAAGTATTTTCAACAAACACGCTATAATGAATTCGTCGTCCTTGGCGATACCCTGTATATCTTGTTATTTGCTCTAAACACTGACAATTGAAAATGATATATTGCAATGCAAATGGTAATTAAAATATAGTCTACCCTTAACGGAATTAAGGAATTTGAAAATGGAAATGTAAATATTACATAAAGATTTCATGTCAAAATTCAAGTTTTCGAAATAGAGAAATGTACTATAATAATGCGATTGTAAATGCGATTCTCAAAGTAATTTTTAATAAAATTAATTCGGTAATTAGCTACTAATTGATAATAACTAGAAAAAATTTGAAAAATATACGAGACATTTTTTCCATTGCGCTATATTATCTGGTCAGTCCATTTGTTTCTTCAGAGTGAAATTATGAAATATTTTTTATGTATTATGTGTTATCGATCTACTTCCTATGAAAAAAATAATGAAATGAAAAAGTTTTTTTACAGATGTTTTTCAAATCTAAATAATCAATTTACAACAGCATGTAATTATGTCAATAACATTTTTTTTACTTGCACTTTTGGAAGTGCACGTTATAGGTATTCAAAACAAAAGTCGAATAATTAATTCATTTAGAAAATTTATCACTATTTCTATTTAATTGTTAGAAAAATTTCCTAAATACTTGATCTGCATAATTTTTATTTTTAAGGTCACATGAAATATTTACATACTATTTTACTTTTTACGAGTAACTTTTTAACAGTCATAAGATGATTTTGCTTGATTGTGCTATACTGTGATTAGATGACATTGTAGTTATGGTTTTTTATTTTCAATATAAAATAATACATAAAAAATTGAACTTTTTGTTAATTACTTTAGAAAAAAAGATTATACTATTAACTTTCCCGTAGGGTAAGTTTTAGTAATCGCAAAAAAATCGAAAATGAAAATTCTTATTTTACTTTACGTTTCAAAGATTTTTGAACATTTGGCCTACTTTTGAAAAATTGGATGTATGTGTTATGTGTGTGTTGCGGATACAATTTTAGTCGACGATTTCGAGAACACTGATCAACCGTTTTGAATATTTCATAAAAACATTCGATTTTTATTTTCAAGTAATTTTTTTCAAAAATTTTGCCTTTTTTGTCAAAGTTTGGTACGGGAAGATTCAGCAATTTGCTGATACCATGCACCACGAGTTTATTTTCCTATTTAAAATATCAATAAAAATAATACGGTTTTAAGTTTAATATTTACAAAGAAGTATACGGGTTGGCGCTATTTATACTATATGCTCTCTGTTTTTTGTGTTAAATTCGTTTGAAAAAAAAAAGTTTTATTGTGGCAGTTACAAATATAACACTTATAACAAAATTAACGATATTATTCCCGGCATGAAGTTTTATTTATTTTTGTACACTCAAGCTTTATTTATTAAAGACGTACATATTTTTATTTATTAAAAACTTACATAATTATGTTAATGTTATATTTATACGTAATATTTATAAAAACAAATAAATAGTAATTCGATGTGAACAATTATATAACCTAATAACATATTATTGAAGAACTCTTTGAGGTTTTATAGCATATGAAAAAAATTATATACGTATGTTTTCCGTTCAAATGTATATCAGTATTGTTAACAAATAACACATGGCTACGTTTACATTAAAGTCTTGATTAATAAAAATAAATTATAAAAAAATGGCTACATTTGAAAATATGTTTTATTACTAACAAAAAGTTTTGAAAGAAAAGTAGTTTTCTAACAAGTAGACAAAATAATTTTCATCATTTGCTAAATGATATATTATTACACAATATACATTAATTACATTAATTAAAAAAACATTACATTTTCAAAAAAAATCGTTCTCAAAATTAAATTGTATTAAGTTCAGCACTGTTAAAATTTTAGATAAATATAGAGCTTAACTATCTAAAAATTTTACAAACCTAATAAAATATATCAGAAGCTTCTTAACAATTTTATAGGAATAATCTAGAATGTTTGCTTTTCTAAATCTATTGTACATTTCTTTACATTTTCATCCTTTTTATTAGGATTGCCCTCTTTCTTGGGGGTCAAATTGTTGTTTACTTTGAGTCATCGGGTTTGCAATTGCATAAATTCTCGGCTTATTCCCGAAAGCTCAGGTATACTTGCATAGACGGAGCGTTGGTGGAAATATTTTAAATATTATTAACAATTAATAACATTTATTTGGAATTTTGTAAGAAATTTATTATTTGAAATTTTTTGTTGAATTAAATATTAAATACTTTATTATTCAAAATTTTGTGAGTGATATAAATTTTGCTATAACGATATATTTGGAAATAATTTCAATTTTGTCAAGTTTGTGGTAGAAAATTTATTTTTAATATTTGTTTATTGGCTCAAATTATGAAGTAGGATCATCTGTAATGAATATAGGAATGTCATATATATTAAAAAAAAATTAAAGTGAAAAATTGAAATAAGTATTCGAATATTCGCATATATTTGTTGAAAAACGTTCTAACTCAGTCATTATAAATACCACGTTAATGCAGTATACATTATGACGACTTCAAAACTCTCTTCCAAATTAATAATAATAGCTATAATTTACGGCCCAATTCTTCGGTAAAATAAAAATGTTACTGCACGCTATGTTCGAGTTTTATCTTCGTATAAATTAGTAGTGAAAACTGTAAACATGTTACACATAAAGTTAAACTTCACCTATGTTATCAAGAGCACATTATAAAGATGCATTTATGATAAACCTATGTGTATGTGTACAGCAAATACATAGCTTTTCGACAGTTTTAACATTTTCATATGCAGTTTGGACCATAACATAGCGTTGCCATAAA